CTTTCCAGAATCAGAAATAACTAAGAAATCTATTTTTTTTCTTTTTTTCTTTTCTTTTATTTCAGGGGCCACCTGGAAAAGATGGCTTGCCCGGGCACCCAGGGCAGCGGGGTGAAACTGTAAGTAACTTGATTTTATTGTTCTAAGCTGTTGTCCATCTGCTTAGTTAATTGTGATTTTTAAAAAGAAAAAGGCAGGAAAGAGAAAATGGATGGCTGCTTTCTGGCTAAAATCATAGGAAAGGGAAAGATGATTGTGGTACATACCTGCATTTGTTTGTGGAACACTAAAAATCCACATCTGACAACATGATTTATCTCTATAATTAAGGGTAAAATGATTTCTGCTTTTGCCCTATTATTAGCTTCACACCAAGCATAAGAATATGATACAGTTAGAGGCAACACAATACTTTGAAGAAGATCTGTCAGAAACAACATAGCATTTCCCTTTGTCATCAAGTGCCATGTAACGAGGCAGAATAAAACTTGAAACCTAACAATTTAGCAAAATAGAATCAAGACTGATAGGACCAGGAAAGCAGAATTGTTTGGGATTTCTTGCTGGAAGGACATCTATATAGGCAAGTGATACTTTCCAGAAGAGCATTGCGTTTAAGTTGCAACACTCCTGAAGACTAATGGAATAAAACATGGAGATTTAGTTGAAAATAAAAAAAATATATCATTTAGACTGGAATTGTTTAAGGAATCTCTACCATTGTAGCTTCTAAGGACCTAATCCAAGCCAGAGAGATTTGTATATAATTCTTAGGATATGGATAAAGATTTGAATGAACCAATACAGTAAAGTGTAGTAATTGTCAATGTGTAGAAGGCCTTTTAGACTCCAGCTTCAGAATTGTGGAAGCCATTGTGAGGCTGCTGAAGGCAAATTATTAGTCTGGGGAATCCTCTTTGACAAATTACAAGGACAAGTTCTGCTCTTCCCTTAAAAACAGAGGAGTGTAATATCAAGCAGTGCAACGATTCCACCTGTGTAACCAGTTATAGTCACCAACACTATGGCCTCATTTTACAATCCTTACTGTATCTGGGAAATGCTTTTATGCCCGTTTTGAAAGGAAATACTAACCAGAAATGTTTTTCTGGCTGTTGTTGTTACTCACTGAAAAAAAATCCATCTTCTTGAAAAGCCATTGTCTACTGAAGGAAACATATCATTATAATGGTGAATCAGGCCCTAAGAAGCAAAAGTTATGATCCTTCCTTAGGCATCTTTTAATTTTGGTGGGAGCTATGTTCAAATCCATATTATGGAATTAGGCTGAGGGTGGGATCCACATTTTAATGAGAAATATTTTAGACTCTTTTTATCATTTATAATGGATTCCTAAAGTTTTCAATTTTTCCTGTTAAACTAATATTCTAAATAAATGACAAATCTAGAGTCAAGAAACAAATAATATTTATCTCCTTGGAAGTGACTTCTAAGTTTCACTGAAGTCATCTGATGCTAATAAAGAGGCATCAGCTCCATAAGTAGCCGGCACCTCTCCAGTTTAGTTAGTATTTTCCATTTTCTGTAGAAATTAACCATTTTGCCTTGCTGTTTTCAACTAGCTTTTTCTTCTTCTCTACAATTTATTCAGCTTTAAGGAATTGTTGCAAAAATCAGATGAGAATAAGCCTTATTTGCTTATATACATGCTTGATGGAATAGTTAAATGCTAGTGAGCACACTAGTCTTAAAGCTGTGAATAGTAGAGGTTTTCAAGGGATTTTCAGTGACTATGGCTCGAGTTCAGCACTCCTTTCTCTTCTTACACAAGCAGCACTTCTATATAAGGCCCAAAAGCCACAACTAGTATAGCATCAGATTGTATCTGGATTTCTTATGGATACATAAGAGAGAGGGATGAAGGACACAGAGTCCTGATGGAACCTCTGCATGGTAAGGCAAAGACTGCATTGTCCTTAGGTTGTGTAACTATGAATCTCTTCCAATGCTGAGTTGTTTCTAAGTCTACAAACAGACATCAAATTTGTCCCAGGATATACCATGTTATTCAAGGTCCAAGTGCTCATTCAGATGTTCATATCCATTGGCCTGGCATAAGTCCTAAAAAGATTTATGGGTAAGAAGTACTGACAGTTTACCCCAGGACATTTCAAAGCATGTCTGAATGGTCACCCTATGATTTCATCCTGGAATCAATAGCAGAAATGTGGCAGTGCATTCAGCTTGCTCACTAAACCCTGATTAAAAGGGTGATGTTTGTCCATGCCAGGCCCAGGATAGTTCTATTCTGGGACAAATGGAAGCTCAGTTTGTCCAGGGATGAATGGAACATCTATTTTGAGCCTAAACGGCAACAATAAACATGCAGACAAATAAAGTGAAGATACCAGAGAATTTTTTAACTAGTTATACAGCTCTTGAGAAGGAACTGGAAATGCAGGAAAATTTGGCACTTTCTGAAAAACTGTCCCAACTACATTAACATTAATGTACATTCTCTCCTTTTGATTTCTATAATTTCAAGTTCTCACACACTCCTTTTATCACATTCAGCCTTTACTTCCAAGCTCTATTGAAAAATGCATACATGCAGCACTTCTGAATCTCTATTTCATTCAATTTTCTTTTTTTCTTTTTTCCCCAATCCCATCTGTGCCTTTCTTCATATAACCATTTGTCAGGTTTGGCTTTGTGATTCATGATGAATATGTGTAAAAATATATATTTTAGCTGAGTCTCAGCAGTATCACTTACGCATTCAGAATCACCTAATCAATTTAACTGACAGAGATCTGTGAAACAGAATGGAATTCCTTCACAACCATAGACGCAGACTTCAGAATGATTGGAAATGATACTGTTTGGGAAGATTTATCTATCACTATTTCACATTGAAGTATACACAGGAATAATAGACACCTCAGTATTAATTCTTGAAGAGGATGATCCCCTACAAAGATCTCATATCTCACCTCCTCATTAGAATGATTTTGCTTCCTCTGTGCCTCAGTGTGTCTTTCTATAAATATATTATGTTGCATTTTCAGGGTTTTCAAGGAAAAACTGGACCTCCGGGCCCTGGTGGTGTTGTTGGCCCTCAGGTATAGATTCTAATATATATCTAATTATATAATAATGCTTACAGATTGTTTTATGTCTAGTGTTAATTATTGCCCTTTACATAGTGTTATATAGAACCTTTTTTTCCGTCATCTTGTTAATTGTAGCACTACCAGTTTACATATAGCAAATTTAGCAATTGCCAAACAACTCTATAAAAAATAAAACATTAGGAATGGCTCTTCACCATATATTAGTTTGTCATTTACATAAGTGAGAAGTGGGAGTTTGCAGGAGTTAAGAATGCATAACAAGACCCTATATTTCAACCAGTTTTAGAAAGAAAAAATGTACTATCTGGCCTTCTCTTAAGAGATGAAAATAAAGGTTTCCCTCGATTTATGCTGTACATACGTTCCTGGAGAATGGTGCATAATCAAATTTGAATAAAACAAATCCACTTTGCAACATAACAAATAGCAATAGGTTCCCATGGCGGTGAGGGAGGGAGAGAGGGAGGCTGGGACTAGGGAAGGGGCGGGGAGAGGGGTGCCACTTCCAGGGCTGCACAAGGCAGAAAAGCAGAGGGAACAGAGCGGCACTCACCCCAGCCCCAGCTTCAGCAGCTCTGGGAGTGGCTAG